TTCATAGTGGTATATCAGTCATCAGAATACTTAGGTCTGTCTCATGAAAAAGGATATGACTTCACTGAAGTTTGAGGGATAGATGAGCGGGTAAACAGTATATAGAAAAGTTGGTGCCAGTAGAAAGACGTTTGCCTGTCAGAACCTCATTTAGTTATGAGATAGAGGTGTGTCTTTAATTGCCAAAGTTTCACAATCAACCACAGGGTCGTGATGAAGACAACATTTAAACTTTGGGTGATAGATTAGACAATGCTGTCTTATAGCCATGACTGTTTGACTCTTAAATTAATTCTTCCTCATGTAGCTGAGAGGAAAAGGGATTCAAAAGAATTGCAGGCCTTTGGGGGAAACATGTTTGTTCAGTCCTTTTCATAATTTGTGTTTGTACCTTACATACCCATCTGAGAATTTGAATTTCTTGTACCATTATTAAGTCAAATTCTTTATTTGCTATTGAAATCTTAGGAAGGAGTACAAAAAGAAGGACCCATCTCTTTGCATTTCCAGCCATTACAGCTATTGTAGACATATAAAAGGTTTGTGTGTGTGTGTGTGTGTGTGTGTGCGTGCGTGCGTGTGCGTGCGCATGTGTTCTGGTATACTTATAGGAGGAAACAAAATCAAGGTTCAGATAGCCTATTGTTGTAAAAAAGTTAACAGTGAAATTGAGGAAAAATAGGCTTCTAAAATGGTATATCAAAGATATGAAATGCCTGTGAACAATTTTCAGGTACTTTGAAAGGGACAGTGAATTAGATACGAGTCTTGAAGGTAGAAGGAAAACTTTCTTGAATTATAAGCAGAATTTTATGAAGTAACCCATGAAATATTTTTCATATTAGAAGTGTATCACAATTAAGGAAATTCATCTCATCAGCTTTAGAATTGGGCTGGGGAGTTAGCTCCGTGTTCTAATCACATCCCTGCCAAGCACAAAAGGGACCCAGGTTCAATGCTTGGTACTGCAGTCCCACTGTGAGCCAGTCACCAAAACCAGGCATCTCTGAGCCAGCCACCAAAACCAGGCATGGTGGTGCATGCCTGTAATCCCTGTACTGGAGAGGCTGAGACAGGAGAATCACCAGGAGTCTCAGTTGTGTAGTGAGACCCTGCACTGAATGAATGAATGAATGAATGAATGAATGAATGAATGAATGATAAAAATTAGAATTCTTCAGGCTGACCCATAACTCATTTGAGATGTGATAAAAATATACAGTGGATGTTTAATTTTTTTAAAAGCAATTATGGTAAAAGACACATTAAATATTTCTCATTCGCTGCTGACTGCCATCCAATTTAAAGGTGGACTCTTAAAAACATTATAGTGTATTGTCATCCACTTTATTTACCAGCTATGGCAGCATGTGACTTTTCACTTCTTCCCCAAAGTCAAAATGACCATGAAAGTTAAATGTTTTAAATTGGCTCAGGACATTGAGCAGCCTTAACAGCACAACTAAAGACATGAAAAAAGACTTTCAGACTTGTTTCAGAAACCATCAAGAATGATAGGATAAGTGTGTTCAGAGAAGGCAGGCATGTTTTGAAGAGAATTGGCAGTGTGCCTTTTCCTTTAATGAAGTTTTTAAAATTTGCAGTATGGTGTTTTTAAGTAGTATCTTTTATGGTGACATTCCATTTCATGAAAAAAGTAATGTGTACACCAGTTAGAAGTATCCTCCTATAGGACTGGGCATGGAGTTTAGTGGTAGAGCATTTGCCTGTGAGTTCAGTGAGAGCCCTGGATTTTATTCCTAGCACTAAGAAGAAAAAAGTATAGACTTGGATCCTGACTATATATATATGTTTTTAAGTACAGGATCTACAGGGTCTCACTATGTATGTTGGACTCGTAGTGATCCTCCTGTTTTCAGCCTCCCAAGTGTTGGGATTATAGGCGTGCGTCACCACGCCCAATCTCAATCGCTGTCTCAGTGCATTCTGGGGACAGGGCTGGCACAGTGCACCGGTATTGAACCCCAGCTGCTGCGCTCTGCCTAAGCAGGAGCTTTAGTCTGCTGAGCTATTTGGCCTGCCCTCTAGTGGGATATTAATAGTAGTACTTCCCTTACAGATTTTTGCTTTGGGGATGAATATATATATATATTCACATATAATATATGAATATATTTATATAAACATGAATATATGTGATATATATATATATTATCACAAACATGCTAATTTTAAAAAATGTTTGGAGTGTTGCCTAGTAGCTAGTAAGTGCTATTATGTAAAGAGTCATGGTTTTTGCTCAGTGTGCATGTGTAAATACACTTCTACCTAGCCTCAAAGCTGCAATCTTGTATAAAATGTATATGTCAATACTTGATAACAACAAATTTTGTGCTATATTGGTTTAACTGTATGTTAATATTAGGAGTATCAATAGAAACAGTTTTTGCTTTGAATATCATTCAGAAACCTGCTTGAATAAGATATACTCTTGATTATTTTGGATAAGCTGCTTCAGAACCCTATCAGAATATTTGGAAAGTAGTGGTTAAATGACATCCTCACATATAAGGTGTTAAAATTGTGGAAAACATTGCCCATATCTAATTTTCTTATTCTACATAATTGAAAGCGTTCATTTATTTTCTCCTTTTGCCACTCCTGTAACATTATGTCTCTTCAGGCAACGTGAGTGCCTTTACAGAGTTCAATAATAATATAACCAAAGTAGATTTTCACTGTGACATAGTTGGCTTGTCTGCCTGGTAGAATTGATGGAAAAGAATCTCAATATGAATCTTTATTCACTATACTTGATATCTAATAAAGTCCAGTAAATTTACTCCTCTCCGTGAGGCATTTTGCATCTCTGTGACTCGTGATTTATTAACCATGTTTTGAAAGTGCTATATACATTTATAAATATGAGAGGTTGTTTGTACCATGTAATTAAAAGAAACACAGTCCAGTAGTGGTGGTAGTCCTATGTCCTTGTTTCTATTTGTGGCCAGCAAAAATTCTGTCAGACTTGTGCCAATACAGATGATTAGGAGACTGTTGATATAGTTGTGACCCCTGCTAGGTTCTTGGGATATCAACTTTGCCTCTTGTGCTTTTTTCATTTAAATTAGCTCTTTTGTGTGGCATCCCTCATTTGGGTCTCTCACTATACCTTTCATTCTGTTGCTTCTCTTAGGTTTTTAGGGGGTTTTCTTTACTGTCAGGTATGGAAGTTGAAGGATGAGCCTTGGGCACTAGATCCCAGTTCTCACTTTAGCTCAAGATACAGGTTACTTAATACATCTGGTGTATCTTGATGCTTAAGAGTAGGACACATACCATAGGATCTTAGTGGACCCTTGATCTGAGTGGATCAAGATCAAAGCTTGACATTATTGAAACCAGTAGTAATACTCATGTCTGGAATTGTGAAACAATTCAGGAGATGTTGGAACTGGATTGTGTTTTCAGGCTGTTACAGCTTTCCATTTTAGACCTATATGTGACCCCTTACATGCCCAGTTAATTGAAAGGAGTGTCTGTCATGAAGAACATGATATATAATGAAAAGTATAATTATGCTTCAAGAATTTTGCAAACCCCAAAATAATAAATGACACTCCTTTTATTAACTTTTATCTTTGAGGTGGAACATAGATTGTAGAAAAGCTAAATAATGCCAGATAATATAATGAGCATCTGTGAGAACCAAAAATAGGAATCAGTATTCTGTTTTACTATTGCCACAGATAGACATTTGCTTTTCAGCTGCTATAACTTGTGGCTACTATTGGAAGATTTTTTTTTTTTTTGATCAGTGAATTTATGTTCAGATATATGTGTTTGGAAATTTAATTCCACATGTGCTTGAGTTCTCACAAGTGGAGAATTGTCATGCCAATTTTCTAGTCTTTCTTCTATTACTAAATAAAAAGATACTTTGTTGAGCTGCATGCTGTGCCCTACCTCTTCCTACTGATCTGTAAGCTTTTCCATTGGCTTTCTTTCTGTTTCCTGCTGCTTTCTTGCTTCATAATTGAAGGGAGGATTCAGACCCATCCAGGTAACAAACTACTGGTTCTGCATGGCCTCCTTATTACTCTCTTCTTAATATTATTACAATGTGGTTAAATGGATTTTTGCTTCTGAATACTTTTACATTGGAAATACACCATTGGTATGTTGTTTCAAGGCTTTTAAGTTTGCATTGAGAACCATAAATGACTAGGGGTACTAGTTGCCATTAGAGCACTTTTGAGCTCTGCTTATTCAAGATAATCCTTAGGCTTGTCTAGATTCCTTACTTTTATTGGAAATTGTGCTAGAAAGCAAGACTGGAGTGGGTTTAGAATGGGGTTCTGCAATCTTTTTGAAAAAGAAAGCTTAGTTCAGCACATGCTAATCCTACAGATAGTTTTAATTTAGTCTGAGGGTCTTTTATAAAAAAATTTTTTTTGTTTGTTCAGGACTTGGGGAGTAACTCAGTGGTAGAGTGCTTGCCTAGCGTGCATTAATCCCTGGGCTCAATCTCTAGCACGAAGAAAAAATGAAAAGGGGGGAGGTCGGAGAGAGGAATGAGGGAATTTTTATGTTCAGACAGATTTCTTGGTCTTCTACATATTTTATACATGATTTAAGTAGTTTTTTTAGGGTCTACTTTTAATTTTTAATGAGCTGATAAGAGCCTCTTTATCAAAGAGTTGATGCTTTTATGTAGCAGAACAGCTTTCAAAGAAATACTAGGTACCCTTTAGTTATATTTATTATATATTTTAAATGAATGATTGTGATGTAGGACTTCTGTTTTAAAATAGCTGAAGCTTAAAAATTGAGACCACCCTGCTATTCTCAGATGTGTGTTGTACATTGACATGAATTTGGCTTATGTTTTATGATCCCAACCATTAGGCAACTTTTTCTCTTTTCATGTATATTTAAAATTCAGATTGATTTGACTTATTAGTGGAAAAAAGAATGCTAAAGACAGTAAAGTATATATTCTCCCCTTTGTTTAAAACTTCTTTTTCTCCCCTTCCCAGTTTTTCCAGAGGCCACAAATACAGCCTCCTAGAGCCACCATCCCAAACAGCAGTCCTTCCATTCGTCCTGGTGCACAGACCCCCACTGCAGTGTATCAGGCCAATCAGCACATCATGATGGTCAATCATCTGCCCATGCCATACCCAGTGCCCCAGGGTCCTCAGTACTGTATACCACAGGTAATGTATCTTTCAGTCCTGGGTGGTTCAGCAATCCAGTGGGAGTTAATTTAGATTCTCACCAGATGGAATAGGGACACTGGGTAATACAGTGGTTTTGGGAAATGTGTGAACTTTTTAGTTGGTTGTAAGTCTAGTCATTTTATCATTTTCCATAAAACTGTAAAAAGATATATATTTCCTTGCTAAGCTATGTATTACATGGTAGAGAAATTTTACCTCCTAGTTTTCTCCTCTCTTCCCCACAACCAACTACTCTAAAATGGACTCAGTAGTTATCCTGTGATGTCATTTAATGTCATTGAAAGCTACCAACCTGAAGTCATTTTACAGTGTGTTGATGACTGCTTGTGGTGATTTGCTGTTTGGCTTTACCTAAGGCACACCTTTCTGTTCATCCTTATTGCATCTGGGTGACAAGCAAGCATTTTAATTTTTAACCAACCACACCTTCATCTCCTTTAAATAATTTCTGTCACAAACTACTTTATTTTTCTATAATCTGCCTTTGTATTATGTATAAATGCCTATATTTTTTCTCTTCTAGTACCGTCATAGTGGTCCTCCGTATGTTGGCCCCCCACAACAGTATCCAGTTCAACCACCAGGACCAGGTCCTTTTTATCCTGGACCAGGACCAGGGGACTTCCCCAATGCATATGGTAAGAAAAGTTAGGCAATTTTGTTAGTTTGTTGTGTTCATTTTGTTTGGTGGGCTAATTAAGCCTTGAAGCTTAATGGTTGGAAGGAATTTTAAAAATAAAGTCTTGCAAATTGTTGTATTAAAAGCTACACTTTTAGGGCTGGAGAGATGGCTCAGTGGTCTAAAGCACCTACTTGGAACAAGCTTGGCAAAGCACAGGGACCACGGTTCAATCCTCCAGCACCACAT